GGGCCCTTTGTAGAAGGCTTTGCTCCTTTCCAAAGTGCCTTCCACTTTGGGTGTGCGAAATTGCCACTTGAGGGCGGGGTCTCCCCCGCCCCACCCGCCGGGCCCCTGCCACCTCTCAGCTCCTTCTCCTCTCTAGCAAAAATAAACCTGTCAGTACACAGATTAAACAGGAAGCCAACATAAAAAAGCCCTCAACAGATCTTGGACGGAGGCCCTGGTGGAACATTCCCGGGGAAAGCTGCCTGGCAGGGACGAGACCTGAGCCTGGCCCGCCCGAGCCTGCCCTGGGCCTCTCCCGGGCAGGACGGGGCCGACGCTGGACCCCTTGGCGTGTGTGTCATGGGGACTGGCCGCGGAGACCAGTTTTCCCGCTCGCGGTGGCTTTTGCCAGTTCCCACTCCTTAGGTTTGCTCGCCCCTCCCCTCTCCTGGCGCAGCCCTCAGGGAGCCCGTCTGAAGGCAGGTGTTGTAAGGCCTCCGGGGGCTCTGGCGCCGAGAGCTCCCCTTTTCGGTCACTCGAAGCCCATGTGCTGTATGTTTTGACCTTTAATTAATGGCAGCACCTGTGTCTTGTGTCGTTCTTGGAGGATCTCAGGGTGTCAGCTTGTGAGGCCGCTGGGCTCGTGGGAGTCCGGGGCCGGGCAGCTCTTCCCCTGCGCCCCTCACGGGCCAGGGGGTGCTCACACGATGACCGGGATGGAGGCCCCGGGCCCGCGCTGGCCCCCTCCTGGGTTGCCGTGTGCCGAGGACGTGTTTCCGCATCTCCCTTTTGGGAAGCTGATTGCAGTCTCTGGGCCCAGATGGGGGGTGTGGCCCGGGGTGTTAGCTGGCGCCCTGGTCCTTTCTTTGGTCTGAGAGATGACAGGTGCCGTGAGACTGGGGGTACGTCGGTCTGGTGCTGCTGCTGTGGGGTTTTCCGCCTCGGATGGACCATGTTTACTGAATGACTGGTAGACTTTAGGCCCCCTTCGGGCCTTCGGATGGATTGTCCCACAGGCTTTCCCATCATCTCGTGGTCTGGAGCGTCTTTCCCTTTCCTGGAAGCTGTCTTTGAGCACTACAGGAACAAGGCCTACGGTTTGGGAAATCGAGGCAGCAGCTGCTAGTTTACGTGTCTAGGCCTTTTGCTTGCCAGCTGCCGCTCATCACCTGAGAACCTTAGCGAGCCAGTGGCCCCGAGTGCCGTCACCCCCCCCCCGCATCGCAGACAGCGGGAAAGGTTAGCTGCTCTCCTCCCTCTGCACCGTGGGGCCCCAGGCCAGTCCCCGACTTCCCCGGATCCAGGGAACCGCTACCTTCCACCCGCTGACTAAAGCGTTCTTGGCAATGAGTCGGCCGGGACAGACCGACGGGCTTTCTGGGAAGCACAGCTGTGGGCCATCTGGCGCCTGTGTAGGGACGTTCGCAGGCCCTGGGAAGATTCAGCGCTCTATCATGAGGCAAGTGAATGAAATCATCTTCCTGGAATCTGTGGCTCTTCAGGCCTTGCTTGGGGTGTTGCAGCGTCCCTTCCCCAGAGCCCCTCGCAAAGCTGCAGTAGAAGGTCACGCACAGCACAGGGATTTCCTGCTGCTGCTTGCTGGGATTCGGAGTCGGCCCGGGCTCGCGTGGGGCTCCGGGTGTATTGCCCCTCCCTCCCTGTCCCCATGGAGGTGCCAGCCGGGGCGGGCGGCAGACCTGCGGATCCGCGGGTGCGAGGGCAGGACCTCGGTTGCCACTGTCTCTGCCTCAGCGGAGTGGAGCCTGTCTGGGGCGCAGCTTTATGTGGCATGAGCCCCGGGGACGGTGTGTCCCAGGGCCGAGGGGGGGCGATTGTCGCCACGGCCGAGATGGCCCCCCCTCCTCCAGGCTCTTCCTGCTCCAGCTCTTCTCTCCACAGCTGACTATTAAAGAGAAGACTTTGTTTTTCTAGGTCCTTCCCTAAATAAAAGCCTTGTTTGTCTCTGCAGTCACACAGCTGGCGGCCTGGGTTGCGGTGATCACCCTCATCCCGGGCCTGCCTTCGTTCCAGGTGGCCTTCAGTGGCTTTGTGCAGGCGGGTTTGTCGGGGCGCCTCTGTGTTGAGCACGTGCGGTGGCTTCCGTGAGTTTACTCGTGGCCGCTCTCGATTTGGAGTTGTTTGGACCCAGCTGCCAGTTTGGGGTTTCTCTCTAGGCCTTGGCACTTCTCAAGTTGCTCAGCTTGGACGGGCTGAAGGAAAAGCCCTCGGGCTTACCTGAACTAGGCTAGAAAATCTGAAATCGGTTAAAACACAAAAACCCTCCACTTCCACCTGTCCCCCGGTAGCTGGGACAGACTTTGAAGGGAGTGTTTGAGAAGTATGACCCTTTGCATATCTCTTTAACCAGGTCACCATGGCTGCTGTTGGCTCCTTTGCTGTCCCCAACGGTCCCCCAGGTCACCTCCCCTCCTTGCTGCCTGTGTCCAGAGGGTGTGCACAGGTTCCAGTGGATCCGGAACCTGGTCCCAGAGTTTGGGGTCTGCAGCTCGCACGTCAGGGTGCTTTCCTCCCCGGCGGAATTTTTTGAGCTCATGAAGGTAAGTTGTGTCTGCAGGAGAGAAGGAGGGACGTCTGAGCTAGAGGCTTGGGGACTTGGGGGTGGGAGGGTGTCCTGAGCAGACGTGTCTTCTGTTCT